GTAGTTTTCATTTCTTTTGGATATTCCCTGAAATGGTATTGCTGGATCTTATGATAATTTTATTTTTAATTATTTGAGGAGCCTCCATACTGTTTTCCATAGTGGCTGCACAAATTTGCAATTCCCCCAACAGTGCAGGAGGGTTCCTTTTCCTCCACATCCTCACCAGTATTTGTTATCTCTTACCTTTTTGATGATGGCCATTCTAACACGCATGGGGTAATTATCTCATTGTGGTTTTCGTTTGCGTTTCCCTAAGGACTAGTGATGTTGAGCATCTTTTCATGTACCTGTTGGTCTTTCATACATCTTTAGAGAAACGTCTCTTCAGGTCCTTTGCCCAGTTATTAATTGGGTTATTTTTTTGTTATCAAGTTGTATGACTTCTTTATATATTTTTACAAGAACCCTTATCAGATGATTGGTTTACAAATATTTTTTCCATTTTGTAGGTTCCACTTTATTGATGGTTGATTTTGCTGTGTAGAAGCTTTTTAGTTTGATGTAGTCCCACTTGTTTATCTTTGACTTTGGTGCTTGTGCTTTAGGTGTCATATCTAAAAATTAACAAGACCCATGTCAAGGAGCTTTATTTCTAAGTTTTTTCTAGGAGTTTCATGGTTTCAGGTATTACATTTAAGTCTTTAACCAATTTCAAGTTAATTTTTGTGAGTGGTGTAAGAAATAGTCATTTCATTCTTTTTTTTTTTAAGATTTTATTTATTTATTTGACAGAGATAGAGATAGCGAGAAAGAGAGCACAAGCAGGGGGAGCTGTAGGCAGAGGGAGAGGGAGAAGCAGGCTCCCCCCTGAGCAAGGAGCCCAAAGCAGAGCTTGATCCCAGGACCCCAGGATCATGACCTGAGCCGAAGGCAGACGCTTAACCGACTGAGCCACCCAGGCGCTCCTAGTCATTTCATTCTTTTACATGTGAATATCCAATTATTCTAGCATGACTTATTGAAGAGAATATGTTTTTTTCCATTGAGTATTTTTGCTCCCTTGTCAAATATTAGTTGACTGTACATGCATAGGTTTATTTCTGGGCTCTCAAGTCTGTTCATTGGTCTATTTGTCTGTTTTTATGCCAGTACCACACTGTTTTGATGACTGTGGCTTTATTGTACAGCTTGAAATCAGGAAGTATGATGCCTCCTGCTTTGTTCTTCTTTCTCAGGATTGCTTTGGCCATTTGGGGTCTTTTGTGGTTCGATATAAATTTTAAAGGTGCTTTTCCTACTTCTTTAAAAAATGCCATTGGAATCTTGCTAGAAATTCCATTGAATCTATAGATGGATTTTCATAATATTGACATTTTAACAATATTAATTCTAATCCATGAACATAGGATACCTTTCCATTTCTTTGTGTCTTCTTTGATTTCTTTCATCAGTGTCTTGTAGTTTTCAGAGTAGATCTCTTTCACCTCTTTAATTAAATTTACTCCTAAATATTTTACTCTTTTTGAGGCTGTTGTAAATGAAATTGATTTATTTCTTTTTTAGGAAATTTGTTGTTAATGTATAGAAATGCTACTGATTTTCATATTTTAAAGTTGTGTCCTGCAACTTTACTGAAGTCATTGATTAGATCTAATAGTTTTTAGTTGAATCTTTAGGATTTTCTATATATAAAATCATGTCATCTGCAAATAGAGACAATTTTTCTTCTACCTTTCCAATTTTGATACCTTTTATTTCTTTGTCTTGCCTGATTGCTCTAGCTAGGACTTCTAATATTATGTTGACAAGGAGTAATGAGAGTGGACACCTTTATCTTGTTCCCAATTTCAGAGAAAAAACCTTCTACCTTTGACCATTCAGTATGATGTTAGCTGTAAGCTTGTCATATGTGCCAAGAGATATGTTCCTTCTGTGCTTAATGTGTTGAATTTTTATCATGAATAGATGTTGAATTTTCTCAAATGCATTTCTGCATCTATTGAGATAATTATGATTATTTTCTTTCATTCTTAATGAAATTAATTAATTAATGTCTTGTATCACATTTGTTGATTTGCGTATGTTGAACCATCCTTACATTCCAGGGATAAATTCCACTTTTCTTGGTGAATGATTCTTTTTAATGTGCTGCTGTATTTTGTTTGCTACGATTTTATTGAGAATTTTTGCATCTGTATTCATCAGGGATATTGGCCTATGGTTTTTCTTTCCATTAGTGTCCTTTCCTGGTTTGGGTGCAAGATAAAGCTGGCTTCCTAAAATAAGTCTGAGAGGATTCCCTCCTCTTCTGTTTTTTTGGAAGAGTTTGAAGATTGTTGTTAATTCTTTAAATGTTTGGTAAAATTCACCAGTGAAGCAATCTGGTCCTGGGCTCTACTTTGTTGGGAGATATTTTATTATTGACTCAATTTTCTTATTAGTAAATGTTGTATTCATATTTTGTATTTCTTCCTGATTCAGTCTTGGAAAATTATACACATTTCTCAGAATGTTTCCATTTCTTCTAGGTTGTCCAGTTTATTGGTGAATAGTTGTTCATAGTAGCCTCTTATGATCCTGTGAATTACTCTGGTATCAGTTATAATGTCTCCTTTTTATTTATAGTTATATTGATTTGGATTCTTTCTTTTTTTCCTTGTTTATTCTAGTTAAGGGTTTGTCAATTTAGTTTATCTTTTTAAAGAATCAACTTTTAGTTTGGTTAATCTTTTCAATTGTTTTTCTGTTATATATTTGATTTATTTCTGCTCTAATATTTATTCTTTTCTTTCTTCTATTAATTTTGGGCTCAGTTTCTTCTTCTTCTACTTTCTTATGGCCTAAAGTTAAGTTGTTTATTTGGGATTCTTCTTGCTCCTTAATACGGGTGTTTATGGCTATGAACTTGCCTCTTAGAACTGCTTTTGGTGTATTCCACAAGCTGGGGTATATTATATTTCCACTTTCATTTGTGTCAAGAAACCTTTTTTATTTCTCCTTTAATCTCTTCTTTAATTCATTGGTTGTTCAAGAGAGTGTTGCTTAACTTCCATGTGTTCATGACTTCCCAGGTTTCCTCTTGTTATTGATTTCTAGTTTCATGCCATTGTGGTCAGAGAAGATACTTGGTATAATTTTAATCTTCCTAAATTTTCTAAGACAGGTTTTGTGTTCTAATATATGCTCTATTGTAGAAAATGCTTCATGTGCACTTGAGAAGAATGTGTAGCTACTGTTTGGATAAAATGTTTAGTTTATCTCTGTTAGGTCCATTTAGTCTACAGTGTTTTTTAAGTTCACTGTTTCCTTATTGATTCTCTGTCTGAATGACCTATCCATTGTTAAGAGAGATATTGAAGTCCTCACCTATTACTGTATTACTGTTTATTTCTCTTTAACTCTGTTAGTTTCTGCTTTATGTATTTAACTGTTCCAGTGCTGGGAACATAAATATTTGTAATTGTTCTGTGTTGACCCTCTTATTACATAATGACCTTCTTTGTCTCTTTTTATCATTTTTAGTTTAAAGTCTGTTTTGTCTGAAATAAGTATAGCTGTCCCTGCTTTTTGTTATTGTTGTTATCAATGTTGCTTGAAATATTCTTTTTTCCTTCAGTCTCATTATATGTATCTTTAATACTAAAGTTAGTCTTTGTAGATACCATATTGTCGGATCTTGATTTTTTTTTATCCATTCATCTATTCTATGTCTTTTAATTGGAAAATTTAATCTGTTTACATTTAAAGAAATTGTTGATGTGTCCATTGATATATGGATAAAGAAGAGGTGGTATATATAATGGAATATTACTCAGCCATAAAAAAGAATGAAGTCTTGCCATTTGCAACAACATGGATGGAGCTAGAGAGTATAATGCTAAGTGAAATAAGTCAATCAGAGAAAGACAGATACCATATGATTTCACTCATATGTAGAATTTAAGAAACAAAACAAACAAGCAAAAGAAAAAAAAAATGAGAGAGACAAACCAAGAAACAAACTCTTAACTATACAGAACAAACTGATGGTTTCCAGAGGGGAGGTGGGTGGGGAAATGGGTGAAATAGGTGAAGGGGATTAACAGTACACTTATCATGATGAGCACTGCGTAATGTATAGAATTGTTGAATCACGGGGGCACCTGAGTGGCTCAGTCGTTAAGCGTCTGCCTTCGGCTCAGGTCATGATCCCAGGGTCCTGAGATCGAGCCCCGCATCAGGTTCTCTGCTCAGCAGAAAGCCTGCTTCTCCCTCTCCCACTCCCTTTGCTTGCGTTCCCTCTCTTGCTGTGTCTCTCTCTGCCAAATAAATAAAATCTTAAAAAGAAAAAAAAAAAAAAGAATTGTTGTATCACTGTATCATACACCTGAAGCTAATATAACACTGTATGTTAACTATACTGGAATTTTTAAAAATTAATTTTAAAAAGGTATATGTACCCCTATGTTCACTGCAGCATTATTTACAATAGCCAAGATATAGAAGCAACCCAAGTGTCCGTCAATAGATGAATAAAGAAGATGTGATATATATATAAAATAATTATACATATTGTATGTTATATATAAATATATATACATACATATAAAAGTAACCTATGATTCTAGGGAAATTAACCAAAAAATAATTTTCAATATTATTTATTGAAGTAGAAATCTGGAAAGTTATATTAAATATGGGCATAATAGTATTAACATCACCTAACTACTGAATAATGAAGCATTTGGAAATAAAGTAGCTATCTGTGGTTATAATAAGAGGATAATTAATTCTAAGTTTGAACAAGAAGTTAGAAGAAGTATCACTGAAACAAGTTATACTAAATATGTATCATGCTTCTTTTTGGCTGGGTCTTACATAGCATCATAAAAGGGAATTAAATATGAAGTAATAAACATAACCAAAATACAGAAATCCACGCTGATGTTGTTAGGTCAAAAGATTTTTCAGTACTTAAAAATTAACCTAAAAGTTAATTTGGTATTGATTGTGAATGACCTCAGATTCTCAATAAATACTTGTTGATGTTCTTTTATTCTATTTGCTTCTTTCCACAGGTGGAGAGGTCCCATACACGACTCTGGCTACTCGAATGATGATGGGGGCTTGGTGGTTATTTGCATTGATTGTCATCTCATCTTACACAGCAAATCTTGCTGCTTTCCTCACTATTACCCGCATTGAAAGCTCCATCCAGTAAGTAGACAAAGATTCCAGTAGCCATAAAGCATGAGGAATGACAAGACTAGCCAAAGCTATTTAAATAAGTATGAGGTATCTGATAATAAATTTACATCCTCCTTTTGAATAAAGGCTTAATTTTGTGATATGCAATTATCGCTGTATTATAGAACATTTTTTATAAAATAAAATTCTGGGTATAATTTTAATATTGCTTCCTACATTTTCCTGGAAGAAAAACACATATTCAGTATTCTAGCTTCCACAAAGTATGACAATGTTTGGGCAACGTTGTAAAAATGAAGGAAAAAGAGTCATACTAAAATATATATATATTTCAAGTTTGACAATACCAGTTTTTATCTTGAGTCTGCCCCATTATGCACTGTCTGAGTAAATAGTTGGATAGACATTAGATGATTGATAGATGACAGGTAGGGGAAGAGAGAGAAAGAGAAAGAGAGAGAGAGAAGGGGCCAGGGGAAGAGGGAGAGAGATAAAAGAATCTCTAAAGAGAGAAAACCACATTCTCTTTGTCTCTTCATTACATTGTAGCTAATGTCATAGCTACTGTGGTCATTATTACTGCTGCTTGTTCAGCTGCAGGGGTGGCAAGTTGTCACCAACAATGGTGCACTTACTTAAATCCTAAAAGTTACCTAAGTCAATGTCTCAGTTCATGAATGCCACTCCCACGAGCCCCGAGAGTCCAAAGGCCTATGAGCTGGCAAAGCCACTTCTGCTTTTGTGGTTTCATGCCATCCGATCAGCACCACAGTACAACTTCTGCCTTATTAGAACATAATGTTCTGTATATTGTTTTCAGAAACATTTTCCTGAAAATGTTTTATTCATCCAAAAATGAGATAGGGTGAATTGTCTTAGAGTTGAAGAACATTCATTCTCAACAAAACTGACAATTCAAAATTATGAATAATTAGATTTGTTAAGAAATTCATTAGGGATTTAATTCATTCTTAAAGGAAAATGTAAGAGTTATTCTTCCCTTTAGAAAAATTTGTAAATGAAGTCCATTAATAGCCACAAAACCGTTATAACACAATACTAAAAAGAAAATCAAAAATTAATGATCTATAAAGAAGTAGGATATATTTTTTCAGTTGCCTGTGGTATACATTCAAACCCCCAAATTCAACTAATAATCATAACAGACAGTTAATTATTTCATCCAGTTATTGAAAGTAGATGAAGAAACAGAAGTTTGCAAGTTAAATTCTCAAGATCACATAGCCAATAGTGTCAGAGCTGGAAGTCTAACCCATGTCAATCCGATACCAATCCATGGTCTTACCCACTGAAATTTTTCCTTATCTAGTGATGGTTTTTACAGTTTTGTTCGTCTAATCTGCTTCCCTGGGGTTGCAGACCTCATGGTGTGTGTGTGTATCTGAACTATTTAGTCATTACCAACTTTGCCAGCATTAGTTTGTATCTTGACTTTTATGCAATAGCAGTGGGAGCAGAAGCCTCTATCAAATGTTTACACTCATAAGGTTTCTCTAAAGGTAAAACCTAATGGAAAAAAGATCGTAATTTCACATGATGTTTCCCACGAGTATAGTTCCACAATCCACAATAACTGAGCCTTCATTTCTTAAAAAATTATTTCTTTCTAATGCCAGCTCACATTATTAAAAGTCAACAGTGGGTATAATCAATCTCCCTTCCTTCTAATCTTATCACTAGACTAATTTTGAAAGGGGAAAATCAGAGCCAAAGGAATTAAGAGAAGCCTGATTCTCTCCCCAAACTTAAAGATATCTTCTAATTTCATGCCTCAGCTGCATTGGTAACCATAATTGCCGGCAATGTTTCTTGGAAACATTTAAAGTTCCGTTTGCAACTAATGTCAAACTTCCTTGGAAAATTCCAAGTTTAATTTTTCTTAGAACAGACAAAACACACAATACCATCCAATATCATGCTCCTTAATCATTTATATTCATAAGATTTGCTCATCACTAAATGAAGCAATGTTTGTCAATACACCTTTTTCAGCTCATTTTTGCCATGTCATTGGCACACATATACCAGCCACATGTTCATTCCCAAAATTGCTTCTCCAGACCCAGAGGGACAGAGATAGTTAGAGGGAAGTCAGTGTGAGAGGGGGGAAAAGCTGCTACTTCTGAACAGATAGTTGACAGAAACTCTTACAGTTTGGTAAGAAAAATCCAATAGATTTATTCTTGAGGAACTGAATACATTTTACAAAATTTACCCCTTTTTCAAAATTAGATATTTATCCACATCTAACCTTCTAGTTGGCACTTGCCATTAATTAAAATTTTGAAAGTGAATTTTCCCTGAAAAGATAATTCCCAAGCTTAATTTCATACCCCTTCAATGATAACTCTGTTCTGCTGCTTGATATGATGTCATATGACAGATGATGACACAGTTGGGGTGGGTAATATTGAGGTTAGACAGCTCAATTTCTGAAGGAAAAAAATATGCAATTTCTACAAAACTCTAATGACATTTGGACTTGTTCATTGTGATTGAATGGTAACAACAGGTAGCTAATTGCTTTTAGATACCTAGCAAATGGAATGTACTTTTTTTCTACTGGTAACCAGGCTAAAATTGGCAATGGTGATATGGAGCATGTGAAGTTTTGAAGGTAATTTCAGAGTAAACACTGGGTAATAACATCATGAACATTGGTTCCATCAGTCTTTGTTGTGATGCAATTTTCAAAAACCTACTTCTTTCATATATAAGGTGAAAAGAGCTGTGAAGGAAATCACAGTTGTACAGTTATGGTCATTAATAACTTTAGAATCAGATTGGTCTTTGGAGGTGAAAACTGAGGTCTTTCATTTCCTGGGGCTGTAAGTAAGCTTGGGTCTATTCAAAGAGATCCCAAATTCCCACCATATTTTTATGTTTAAAGCATTCACTCACCATAATGTTTGAGGTTGGACTAAACAAATATTGACTTCATGTAGTCACTGAATAAACTAATTTGGGATAAATTTCTTTCCAAGTATATGCAAAAAGAGATCCATATTCTATCCTATCACTGGAGGAGACTCCTTTTTCCTTAGCATACCAATAACAGGACTTTTGTATCCACATTTGCTCACATTTGGAAAAGAAAAAAAAACATTGAGCAATTGTTTTTCTTAGTGACACACAATAGACTATGAAATAGCCCTGAACTTAGAAATCTAAGTCTGTCTAGACATTGGGGAGGGTATGTGCTATGGTGAGCGCTGTGAATTGTGTAAGACTGTACACAGACCTGTACCTCTGAAACAAATAATACATTATATGTTGAAAAAAAGAAGAAGAAGAAGATAGTAGGAAGGGAAAAATGAAGGGGGGGAATCAGAAGAGGAGATGAACCATGAGAGACTACGGACTCTGAGAAACAAACTGAGGGTTCTAGAGGGGTGGGGGTGGGGGGAGGGGTTAGCCTGGTGATGGGTATTAAAGAGGGCATGTATTGAATGGAGCACTGGATGTTATATGCAAACAATGAATCATGGAACACTACATCAAAAACTAATGATGTATGGTGATTAACATAACATAATAAAATAAAATAAAAACATTAAAAAAAAAAGAGCCTACCCTTCCTCAGGGGTCAGGAAATCTATGATCTGAGAGCCAAAAAAAAAGAAATCTAAGTCTGTCACCAGGTCGGTACAGAGAGAATGGTAGAAATGGCAGGTGCTCTCTAATGAAATTATTTATTTCTTTCCTTTGCCTGCACAAAACTATGTAACTATCTTTAGCAAGTTACTATTCAAAGAGATCATTATAATCCTGCTTTTTGGAAATGGAGGGATTTCTAACTATAAAAACTAAATATATTAGCTTCATTTATTTAATTTAACTGAACATATATATATTTAAACATCACATTAGGTATTGAATCTACAAAGATATTTAGATATTATCCCTGGGTCACAATTTAGTTAGAGACATAGCAGTGTAAAATTTAATGACATAGGAGCTATGATAGATTTATTTGTGAAATGCTGTGTGAACACAGGAAAGGAGTGATTTAATTCAATAATTTGGAGAAGAGGGGGAGGAGAAAGGTAAAAAACTATCAGATATCACAGAGGTATCATCTGAGAGTTTGATCTTGAAAGATGAATTTCAAAAGACTGAAGGGATGGCTTCCTGGAGAATATTTGCAAAAGCAAGAGAGGTATGAAATTCCTGGGAGAGTGTCTAGCAAAGGGCAGATGATCAAAATCTGTTAATTTCCTTCCTGGATTGAGATGGGTGATGTGAGAGTGGCAGGAAATGAAATAGAAAAGGAAAGTGGAACCAAATCCTGAAGAGCATGATAAAGCTTGTTGAAGAATTTGGAAATTTTCCTGGAGAGTGACATCATTGAAGAAAGACAGCTTTATCTCTGGAGAGGAGCTTGGGTGGGAGAGAAAAGATGTAGAAGTGTATGGAAACTAGTAGGTTTCTATTTAATATAAACCTGAATCACATATCTTCTTGTTTCAGGGCTGTTTAATTTGAAAATACCAAAGGCTTAAGGGAATTTAAGAGAAATGTGGCTTGAGAAACTAGGCTAACAGTTACATTTATAGCAGATGCAGGAATATTGACTTAGTTTATTTTTTTATAAGAGAAAATGTGGTTAACTACCTCGTAACTAAACAGGTAGGGAAGAAGAGAGTTACTAATGTGAGAAAATTCTAGAAATCACTCTGATTGGATGACTTTTCAGATGCAATTTTGCAGAAAAGTTGCATCTCAATGTCTGCTATTCATGGATTTTATCCTGCCTGTTAATTATTTTTAGCCTTAAGCCATCGAAAAATAAGTCAGACTTATTTTCAGTAAATTTAATGCATTTTCGAAGTAATACAGGGCTATATTGAGAAAATAGGAAAATACTGTAAATTTTGAAGGACAAAGTGTTAATAATCCATAGCTTGCCATATTGCAATATGTTCTATTAATATTTAAACAAGCTTTTAACAGTTTATTTTGAAGTAATTATATATACACAGGAAGTT